TTTTTGCTCATTTCTCGGAGGCAAAATGAGCAAGAACGCTCATTTGTACATCATTCTAGAGAGAAATAAATGGCGTTTTTAGAAAGTGAACCATCGATAAGGAAATGTTGGCAGTTTTCTCAAAAAATGCTTGAATTCCAGAAGTTTTAGATTTGCGTCGTTTTTTTGATTTGCAAAATCTACTTGAACATGACGCTGCTTTTTTCGAAGTTTCTCAATAACCATTCGCGCCAGAGAATTCGTTTTGGCATCGTTGGATAGAGAATTGAATGGGGGGGTCATGACCCCCATGATCCCCCCTGGATCTGCCCTTGCGTTCCCTGAAATTCAATTATTTTTTTTTAAAACTGTTTACTCGAATCTCTGTAATGTTTATGCAGATCTGCTGTTTCCTATGCGGAAAAACGACTGACAAGATGTACTATTAAAACCTTAAAATAAACCGACATATTTAGAATGCTTCAAACAGTGGCTGTTTTTATAACCATTCTTTATTTTTCTTGGATTATAAACGAAGTTATTGACGAAACTGTAAGCTTTTCCAAGCTTGATAAGCAGATTAAGCGGTAATTTAAATTTCTTGCAATTACTACACAAATTTACCTGTAAAAATCCTGCAGGCTTCTTAAAGACACAAAACTCACAAACTCAGACTGCCATTGATTGCCACAAATAATTGAGATAATTCATCAATCGATCGGAGAGAGCCCTTAGAAGTGAGGGCGCGAAGATACTGTTTAAAACTGTGGCCGATCACCCTGTGGCAATGGGCGGACGTATGAACGCCTCCTGCTGCCCCCCTAAAGGGTGTCATCTATTATTACTTGAAGCTTGTAGTTCACTTCATTAAGCCCACTATTGGCATAAAAAGCCACCAGAAAGGCTGCGAAAGCATCCACTCAGCAACAGAAATTAGGACGTTTCGGATTCAACTTGGTTGAATGATGAGTAAATAGCATATTATTATAAACAAGCATATGTATGTAAATAGGCTATTTCACTCCTAATACATACTTATCATGTATTTCCCACAAAGAAGCAATTCTGCCCGAATTTTTCCAATTTAATTGCTTACTTCAAAATGCCCTGCAATGGTGATTTCACGTATCAATTAGTTATATTGGACATTTTTAAATTGCGTAAATATTGTAACATATTTAAAAATTACTAAACAAGGGGATATTTGGTTGGTATTTCCTAGAAAAGGATCGAAAACTAAAGCTTGTTTTGGGTTCAAAGCAAAGGTTTAGTGATTGTCATGCTCCGCAAATCAAATATTTAATTTTCTCATAGCTGCTAATCGCTACTAGGTACACAGGCAGCAATTCAATCTAGTTGATGACATCTTGATTACTAAGATAAACCTTTTCGGACCACAGCCCGGACGTGTGGCAAACATCCTCTTATCGGCCGCTAAAATCTAATCTTTAGTAATCGAATAGCCCTAGCTAAGTACTCAAAACCGATTGCATACTCCCTCGTATCCATCTTGCAATTTGTTTCTCTAGTAGATGGACTTCGAATTTTTGACAAAGAATATGCATCGCAAAATTTCGTTCAAGACAAATATTTGTTCAGCCATGGGGATTTCAGGTGTTTCGTGTTAGTTGGGTCAGTGTGCTTAATTAAATTGGTAATATGATGTGGGGCAGCGATTTTGCAGCTGTACATAACTCCAGATTGCTCTTCAAACATGTGGCTTGGGATTTATTTATGTCCAGAAACATTGGTAGATATCAATTTTTTGATCGTTTATCGTTATTTGAATCGTAATAGTTGCAAGTTAATTATATCTAATTTATCTTCAATGCCCGTCTGAACATTAGTATTTAAATGTATCTAAACTGTGAATAAACTTAGCAAATTTACTACCGATTCATTACGCATTGGTGATGATGGGGGATTTGGTTAATCGCCTACCCTCGAGATTCAACCGCCTGGAAGACCGCGAATTACCAAATCATCCCTTACAGTTGCCACAAGGCAAACACAGGTGGCAATCCGCCAAATAGTGTTTGTTTGCTGGAGTATTGTTCTTGATTATAACCTGTGCTTTAGTTAAAACACTTGGACAAATAACGATTCTGTTTGGACTGTGTCGGTGGTCATGAACGGATGATTACTCATCGTATCAAATATCGTATGTAAGTATTTATATTCGACAAGAATATTGTTCTTAATTCCCTACTTTATTGGTAGATATCTATCAAATTCAGTTTAAACAATTAACTTAATAAATATAATGAATTTCTAAAAATCTATTTGCTTCTTCAAAATGTATGTGGTAGGTACTTCTGGAACATATGGAATGGGATTCCCATACCATCTGAATTGAATTTTTCTCAAAATGGAACCTAATAAAGCGCACATCCTCCATCCTTAAATAATATTTAAAAAAACCGAAAATTTAAACTGCCAGCCTTCTTCTTAACCCGTCCTGCCAGTGCCGCTACAGCACTGTTGAACAGTTCAGTCATGCATGCCGCAAACTACAGCCACCTTTTATATTTTGTTTTTTTAGGGGAAACTGTCGTGTAAAATTCAATATGGATAACCGATACTCTGTCGATCGGGTTCATGAAGATGACTGCGTAATCCAACACCATTATTATTTCTCATGTTATGAGGATGGTTAGTGAAAAATAATCCGTCGAATGTTTTCAGGAAGTCCGCATTAGAGGATGTGAAACTGAAAATTACTGTTGGCTTGTTTAACACCGGACTGATGTGCACAACACGTTTTTTTCACAAAACCGAAAGAATTCCTCAGTTACGATACTTAATTGTATACCTACACGCCATACAATTTTGATTTACGAAAGATTTGAAGTATTCAGTAAGACAGTGTTTGAACTGTTACGTTTAATTATATTGATTAAGTTACTGCAGGGCTTCACATTGGCTTTGCTTTGGTGTCATTGAAAGGCTTCTGCGATGTTTTAATTAATCCCTTCTCATTCCCGCCGGACGCGGGGGCGGCCTAACGACGACGTTTATATACCGTACCATTATTACATATCTTTAATGTCAATAGATAGACAGATAAATATCTTGTGCCTCTTCTCAATTTAATATTTAAGTGATATTCTTCTTCCTACCATCTTAATACTAGTCGAAATTGGCAACACATCAAGTAAACTATCCCGTACACAAAGAGCTCGGCTCTTATTGGCTTTCAGCCATTTGACGAAGGGTGCAGACTCCGCCCTCAGCAGCATGTTAATTACCTACAGGCTCTATTATTGGCTTGAATAAAGGGCGGACAGATCTGGCAAGTTCTTTCTATAGACTGTGTGCTTTGTAAATATTTAAACTTATCAATTTATAGTAACTATTGAGTTTCATATATTTTTGTATGAAAAACTACTCAAAGTTGTAGGTCACCTTATGGAAAAAAATTACCTGACAACCGATCTAAAATTTCGCTCGATAATAACAAAAAAAATCGATAAATAGTATGAGGTTGAATAAAAATAAATAGAAACATCTATTCTGCAAGTGCAGATAACATTAAATACTTTCATGTATGAATCAATCCTCATGAATTACTAATGAAAAGCTTAGCTATTGGGCCTTAATTGAGTTAATTTTTGTACAGCCGCCATAAAATTACCATGATTTTTTTACGCTATAATGATACCTATGGTAGAGGTGGCAGATAAAAGAACTGTAAAGCTGTTATAGTTTTTATAGCATGATTAAATGAATGACTATGGAATCTCGGGAAAATATAAATGTGTTAAAAATGTCTTCATTTTTTCGGAATTTTTAAAAATATCCTATGGCAAATATGATAAAAATTGTTGCTTTGTGAAAGTAATCATAGGACTCTTGCAAAAAGAAAACCATGAACAAATACCTATTTTTTGTATGTCAATCATTTATAGGTAGGTAATAGGCATCGTTTAAACAATGTAATTAAAATTTTCCGCTCAGCTTTAGTGGTGTTCTCTGGTCTCAGCATTATAGGTATCTTTAGCATAACTGTTTGCTACAGACAAAGGTTCACACAGTATCATACACTGTTCATACAATGAATTCATTGTACGACAATGAATTAATTGTATCATGGGGTCAATGCGTTTGGGCATATTTGGGAATTCTGTAGACAAAACTGAGCATTTTGCGATTGGTAGTTGGAAAGTGTACTCTAGATTGTTTGCTACTTTTAAGTGTCGGTTCAGAAATATAAAAAATGCGGTGTGCAGTCATTTCATTTGTATTAAAATCTACATAACATCTGCGGCACCACAAACCGCATATTCCGTCGTAAATAATACGAAAATAACATTAAGTCATTGTTTGGCCTTCCGTCTCTTGAATCGTAATGTACTATTTCTGCAAGGATACATTTTCAGCTAACGCTATACTTTATTGCACAACTGGCAACTGTGCTAGTCTACAAAATAAATACATTTTTGTAACTTTTAATTTTCAAGTCTAAAATCTGCCGCAAAGCATCTTGTAATTATAAGGAAGATTTATAAAAAAATAATTAAATCTGATAAAGACTAAATAAGCTATATTTAATCACATTTAGCAGACAGGAAAAAAACACGCCCGGCAGTGATTTCCACTGACGTCACACAAATCGACGCAAGATCCTACCTTGTATTCATTGTATCATGGGTTCGTAGAGTATTCGCAAGTTCAAAAGTCCAGACGCCCTCTGGTGGGTAAAATTCTAACTATAAATTCAGCAGTAATCAGATTAAAAAGAAGAAGAAAAATTCGGTATACTGTCAAGTGCGTCCATTTCTTGTTTGACTTTTCCTGTGTCCATCTATGGCTAGATCTTTAGTTTAGTGATGTTCTGAGTGGATTATTGTGTTTTCAGGATCCCTAAATTGACTTGGCCTAACGCAGGATTTTGCAATAGAAGGCCAATTGATCAGACTGATACTACCTAGAACAAAACCGAGATCAGCGCAAGAAAAACGTATTCATATTTGAGTGTCCGACAGTTCTCACTTGTCAAACAATGGCCAAACAGACAAGAAAGTAAAATCATCCATTTCATTTCCAACAAATACCAGTTTAACTTATATTTTCTGTATTTCAGCAGCAACCAAAAACCCAAAATTAAGAAGAAAAGCAACGGTAGTGTCCGTCGTAAAGCAGTTTTTACCAAATCTAATCCGAACTTTAAGAAGACACCGACAATGTTAAATCGCAAAATGCAAGATGTGCGACAAAAACTTATTCTGAAAAAACGAACCGTTACGGACGCCCGCGATGTATTGGCAAAAATGGCAAAAACCCACGACGCCAGGAGTAGATTGGACCGCATGCGGAGCAAGCAAGAGAACAGAAAGACGACTCCGATTGCTTCATCCAGTTCGAAAATCAAAGTTATTGGCAAAAATATTGTTCAAAAAGTAGACGTCCATGGCAAAATTAGTCTCGTTACCAACAAAGCGAGGAACACGTCAAATATTAACTTGGCTATTCAAAAGCAACTAGGCCTTCTACCTGCTACCAGGATGCCAGCCAAGAGAATTCAGTACCGAAAACCGCAATCTCCAAAATCAGTTACTCCCACAAATAAACCTGTTCGCAATGAAAGAAGTTATGGACCGTCTATGGCTGAAGCAGCCAGAGTGTACAATAAAGAGATGTACAGATGGTTGAAACCAGATCTGAGGCCTGCATCTCATTTGATCAATGCGCTGGAACCAACTAGGCAGGCAATGCGTGATGTTATGCGTGAAGAATTATTAATGGCCAATAGAGGATGGTCAAACTTGATTACTCCAAAGTAAGCTATATGGTATATTATTACGACTTAGTATTTCTATTCACATTTCTTTATATGTAATTAGGCCAATGAGACTGCAACCGAGTGGCTATGTTGATCTGGACGCTGCAGATGATGATGTAGACATGCCCGTGCTTCATTTGCCTGCCAGTAGAGTCGCTCTTAAAGGGTTTAGCAGAACGAGTAACGTACATTCAAGGTTGGATGGGAATCAAGACCAGTTTAATAGTCATGGTATTATGTCCGACATCAAAACAAAAGTGGTTATTCCCGTTGGTCATCGAATTGTCGTTTCAAATTTGCATCCTTCCGTCACTGAAGATGATATTAAAGTAAAAAAAGAACTGTCAACTATTCCTAAGCCAACAACTAAATTTGCTTTTTAAATATAGGAACTCTTTGAAGACAAAGGTCAGCTTTTGTCAGCGAAATTAGTCCGGCCAGGAGTAGCAGAAGTGATTTACAAACATTTAAAGGATGGGCAAAAAGCTGTGGACACCTATCATAACAGACAGCTGGATGGACAACCCATGAAGTGTCTCCTCGTAAATAAAAGACCAGTTTATCAGCCATCTGGCGCTGCATTGTCGAACCTCGAAAGGTAAACTCACACATCATCAGCATTATTTTGTTACTTTTATATCGTTGTTTTCAGTTCACTGTCGAGAAGACATTTATCAGATCGTTTTGACGATTTGGTTCCAAGTATGCGCACAATTCACAAGGTTCTATTTCAGAAGTAATCTGGCTACTCGTCAATCGGAGAGTACCTACGTGTTTTATGAAGAATATGATATTTACAAAATGAGATAAAACTGCTTCTTCGTTACGTACGTTGTATTTCAAAAACGTTCAATCAGTTGTTGAAATTCATCAATTCAGAATGAATCAGATAGTTTGTTTTGCTCCTATTTTATTTTCTTTTGCTTCTATTTCAAGTCTTGTTCTATGTTTTCTATGCAATATAGTAATCTGGTTAATAAGTTTTTTATTCTCTAATTAATAGGTATACGTAAATGTAGAAATATTCAGTTTCTAATAAATTGCTTTGTGAATGTATGAATAGATCCGGTTAAACAATATCGAAAAAAAAATGTGTTTGATTTGCTTGTTTCCAAATAATATATACGAATACTTCCTTTCTATGCAAATCTGTCAGCTTGAAGTAAGCAATTATCGAAAAATTACAGCGGTTTTTCACGTCGTCATGGAATCATAAAATATATCACTGTCGACTGATTTATTTGAAGTGATTGATGTCAAATATATTCTGAAATTTAATTTTTAATACTCGAGAAATAATCTCACTAAATACCACTCGAGCTTTAAAATTAACCATATAATTTTTCACTCTGGCATGTTTCCCTTGCAAATTTCGATATGAATGATATATATGACAATATCTTCCTTATTTTCGACCCACAACTTTCATGTTCGCTATTGGGCAACTTCTTAGGTCGGAAACATTCCAATAAGGGCAAAAAACGCAATTGCAAAATTTTTATTTTTGGTCGAAAATTTCATAAGGGGTGAGTAATATAGTGAAAAGTTAACGGTAATTTCAAAGCTCTCGTGGTATTACCCTCGATACTTGTACAATGCAATTATCACTCAACGATAATATTGGACTTGATGACATTTAAAACATAAAACAATACTTCACAGTCATGTGAACACCAATGTCAACAAAACAAGTGTCAATTTACTACTTAACTTGTAGTTATAATTTTAGCCATCAGAGGGCCTCTGGGTTTTGGACGAGCGTTTAAACTAGTGCTCGGAATTTTTTTTAATCTCAAAATTCGAATACTCGTTTAGTGGTTTATTCGATTAGTAAACTAATTCGAATACTCCAATGTCTATCGAATACTCGAGTTATGACTAGACATAATTATTAAAGGATTGTTCCAGTTTGATTCCGAGTCCTAATTTAAACCAATGAACTGTACACAAGAATCTTTAGCATGGAGTTCATTGGTTTAAACAGAGGAAGGTGACCCTCCAATCAGAGGTCGCAATTTTATCACGTGACTTACAGCCAATCACACGTGGTTATTGTTGACGTTTTAAACAGCTGCTGCTGACAATGACTGTTGTGTTGTCATTTGCCCAGTTTCAATTATCATAAACATATAATAATAGTCTTGTTCTTCATCTATGGTCTTGTTATGTCTTGTTAAATCTCGATACTTTTATTCATTTTTATTCTTTACAAATCCAAACGAGTGACTGAGTAACGATGGCGGACCTTGTAAAAATTGGCCAAAGAGTTGAGGTCACCGCAAAGAGTCTCCAAGGAGTGATTGCCTTCGTTGGAAAAACAAGTTTTGCGACTGGGAAATGGATTGGCCTAATCCTAGACGAGCCCAAAGGCAAGAACGACGGCAGTGTGCAAGGAACTGAATATTTCAAGGTAATCACGCGAACTGTCCAGAGTTTGATGCTATTATTCACTGATGGCCTAGTGCGAGGCAAACTATGGGATGTTCGTGAGAGAGTCGCAGATTCAGGCGCTGGACGCAGAAGGAAAACCCATAGTCGTACCCAAGACTGCTGACTTGCCAGCGTCGAAGATTGCCAGGTCTCGAGCCACCACGTAAGTGTTAATAGGTATTTTAACATTTTGAAAATAGACAATGTATCTACCTATTAATTTTTCCGAGAGCTCGTCTTACTATTGCCGCTTTGCCATGCGAGTATTTTCGAATACTTACGTGTAACATTTTGGATTCCAAATAGTTGACTAGAGAATAAGTTGTGGAAAAGTGTAATGTTTTTATTTTATTTTGGAATTGTTGCTAGTGGCGTGGGAGCAAAAACGCAGCCCACTAAGTAAGTCAAATGAAGTTTTACGGAAAAATGCTTTTACTGCAATCACATCTAATAGATTTAGGATATGTTATATGATTTTTATTTTTGATGCCCTCATTCAAATAGTATTCGGCGAAAAACCTCCAAAGGGCTTCCATCACTATCCGCATCCAGGTATTGACCAGGTTATCTCAGTGGGACAGTTTAGCTTTGCATGCTGTGCACCGAACAGTATACATATAGTAGTGGTATAAGGGTTTAATTAACTTTTTCCGTTCAAGACCTTTACACAACACAGTACCTACATATAAGGCATGAATGCAACCTGGTAGTATTCTCAAAAGTAGAACAGCATGAACGCATTTTTTTTCAAAACTGCTGACAATTCTGCTTTATACAACATTCCAATGCCAGTGCTTTTAGCTCCAGGATGTCTCTGGCAAGCAGCCGGCAATCGTTGGCAGACAGCAGACAATCTCTGTCAGGAAGTCGACAGTCTTTGGCTGGAAGCCGCAGTCATTTGGCATCTCCGGCCAGTGAAAAGCCGCTTGAAATTGCCGAGCCAGCCACTTCAAAACGAGCTTCATTTGTAGAGGTTCATCAGCATTAAACGGGCATTTTGGGCTACTTTTTTAACTTACATTTTTCGAATTTAGTTTGTTGAAACTCTGAAACCCCAATTTACGCCCGGGGCAGTTTTGGTTACGCCAACACCCATCACGTCCATAGATGAAAAGCTCAGTCAGCTGCAATTGCAACAGGAGCTGGAAAATAATCAAAAGCAAATGCAGGAACTAAATGAAAAAATCGAGACTTTAAAGATAAAGCGCCAAGAAGACAAGCAAAAGTTGAAGGACTATGATAAGCTGAAAATTCAGGTATGTTCGTAAAATTTTGCAGAATTCTTTTGGAACGTCAAAGTAATTTCTAGTTGGAGCAACTGATTGAGTTTAAAGCGAAAATTCTGGAAGCTCAGAATTGCCTGCAAAGGGAACTACAGCGCGCGAAGCTTGATGTTAAAGAAGCGGTCGAAGCCAAAGAAGCGCATGCTGAGGAAGTTGCCGATTTGTATGAGACCGTGGAAATGGCGACACTGGACAAGGAGATGGCAGAGGAAAAGGCCGAATTATTGCAGGCCGAGCTGGAAGCTTGCAAGGAAAAGTTAGATGAAGTAACTCTGGATCTGCAGATTCTGAAAACTGAAATGGATGAAAAAGGTGTAGACAATTCTCAATTTGGTGTCGACAAGAGAGAAAGTTAGCTCTCTTTTTTAGCTCTAGGAACCACTCCGGATGACCAGGCAATTACGACGTATGAGGTAAAGCAGCTCCAGCAGCAGAACGCTAGACTACGTGAAACGTTGATCAAACTTAGGGATATATCGGCTCATGATAAACACGAGCACCAAAGACTGCTCAAGGATATTGAACAGAAAAAGTCAGAGATCACCGAACTTGGAAAAACCAAAGAAAAGCTGAGCGCAAGAGTAGAGTCTATGGAACAACAAATATCCGATCTCCAAGAACAAGTAAATTGGACTGTCACGTAGGTCGCTGTCTTGTTTCTATGGGAACTTGTAGGTGGATGCGGCATTAGGAGCCGACGAAATGATCGTCATCTTGAGCGAACACAAACTGAATCTCGAAGAGAAAGTGGCCTGCTTACAAGAAGAAGTTGCGGAACTGGAAGCTCTCCAAGACATGAATGATCAGTTGGTCGAAGGTAATGCAGAACTAGAGGCTGACTTGCGCGAGGAATTAGATATAGCCCGTGCCGAAATTCGAGAGGTAAGTTGAAATTCGAATTTTCTGTTTAATTGTATGAAATTGTTTCTGGTTTTAGGCGGTGCGCAAACGAGATGCCGCCTTTGAAACCATCGCGGATCAGGAAGCTACCATCGGCAAATTCAGAGGGCTGGTACAACAATTGCAAGAACAGTCACTAAATTTACAACGAGAACTAGAAAAGGAAACTAGCAAACCAGTCAAGTCTTTGCCAGAAATTGCCGATTTCAAGAAAATGTTTACTGAGACGAAAGCGCACACGAAAGGTTTTATTTACAACAAAATACCTATTCTTGAATAATACCTATTTTACTATTCCTTTTATGAATTCCAGCAATTGACTTAGATCTGCGTCGATTAGATGAGCAACAGCTTCAACAGCATATTAAGTATCTCAGCTCATACATGCCTGACTCGTTTATGAATCGTGGCGGGGATCATGATGCCGTTTTAACTTTGCTGCTTATCTGCAGGCTGATTCATAAGTCCGATATTCTTCTCGGGCAGATTAAGGAAAAGTTTCCCGTTGCTGATAAGGTTGACCGGGCTGCTGTTCTTAAAGGGCATGCACTCGAACAATACTCTTTTCGATGTCGCATGAGTTGCTATATTTTCGCATTGCAGGTATCTATACTGAATACGTTTGAATTTAGATGTACGCTTTGGCTGAAACTGATTTATTGCCGTGTAGAGTGTTCTGCATCAATACAACTACTGTGTGAGGATCTGCAAGCCGGAGACATTGCTGAAATTGGGATCAGCCTATCCTGAAATGTCAGCGCAAGAGAAGGTGATTGATTCGTTTGTCGACTTGGTCAAACGAGACCAACTGGATGAGAATATCCTGTTGGAACCCTTGGAGAAGTGCTACAACTATTTTAAAACCATGTTCCCAATATTGTTGGCGAATGAGAATAAGGTTGACCAGAACCACCTACTTTCAGATAACGTCAAAGTCCTATTGAGTGCTGTTGACGCCTTCAGTACCGATGCTAGAATTATCCGGTGTCTTTCGGAGGTAACCAACCTTCTAACAAGAAGGGAAACTTATTTTTCATTGTGTCTAATTCGCAGAGTGCCAACGTAGGAGATATTTGTCTACTGGCACAGCATGTCATAACTACATCCGAACAGCTCCAGCGGCAGCTGAAACTCGTCAAAAGACGCCTTCCAGTCGACCTGAATATTACGAATTTATGCCTGGAAAAAGATTTGTTCGACAATCTAACCAAGTGTTTCCAGCACGCTGGAAAAATATTGAAAACTGTAAATGACGTTGCTAGAAATGCCACTTTGTCTTTAGCCACAAGCGGAGGTAACTTTGCATTAATAGGACTATTCGATGTTGTCATTTACTTGAATGTATTTCATTTCATCAGAAACTGAAAAGGGTCTGTCTCAGGAAAAGATTAAGGAGATTGCAATGGTTGCTAGCGACAAGGTGTACGAGCAAGAAGACTTAGGTCCTGTGCAAAGTATCAAACAATCTTTATCGTTGTTACTGACTCAGATTGCTAATATTACTAAAGCTCTGCAAGATAACGAGTTACAATTTAGCACTAATACTGATGAAAACGTAAGCAAACTATTTATGTATTTTAGCGCCAATATTTTCTGGTTTTTAGACTAATTGTTTTCTGCAATTTACCACCCTTAGACTAGGCCACCAATCCAAGTGAGGGCCGAGACTGTAAAGAAGGAACTCGAACAGACGAAAACCTTGACCAGTAAACTGGAAAACAAAGAGTCCGATATCAAAGAGCTCAAGAGGATTTTGAAGGAGAAGCAGGAGCAGCTGAGTGAAATGATAATCCGGAAGGAACTGGCGGAGAAAAAATTGGGCAACGTTAACAAGGACTACGAGATGTCGATTGAAAAGCTTCAGCGAAAACTAGAAGAAGCGCACAACAATTACAAGAGAAAAGAGAAGGAGTTTGAAGAGACTTTGGATCACTTGCAAACCGACATTGATTCCCTGGAAAACGAGAAAGGCGAGATGAAGGAGAAGATGAAAATGTTGACTAAAAAAGCACAGATCGAGGCGTCGTTGACTCGGAGTATGTCGGGTAACTCTTAACCATTGATTTACTGTCATGCGAAATACCACAGACTTTTTAGGCTCTACGATGCCGTCATTAAATACTTCGCTTGGTCCCAATCTTCCTGCTGTTGTACGTGACTCTCCGTTGCTGCTTCAGGAAATTGAAAATCTGAAGTTGTTGTTCCATAATGAACGCAACAAACGTATAGAGCTAGAAGCTGCTAAACTTAAGCGGCAGCTTGATAGTATGGCCCCATTGCCGTCTTTTAAAAACGTCAGGGACGAGATTATTGAGGAGCTTTTTAAAGAAGGCGTTGCTCTAAAACAGGCAAGTTTTAAACTGTAGAACGGTCAACTTTTTAATTGAAACGGGTCGCATACAATTTATTTGCTAGGAGATACTTATGACGTTGGCCAAACCTTCGTTTCCTTCATTTGCCAACATAAAACCAGGTGCTGAAGAAATAGTTTGGAAACGCCATTTTGCAGACGAGCGGAATAAAATTGCAGATTTGCAGAAGCGCGCCCGGCACTTTCAGAATCGTGCTATTCGAGAAACGATTCGTAGAAAACACGGCGGTCGGATTGACGCCGACTTTCATATCTTTCCAACTAAAGAAATGGTCAAGGTAATGGCGCAGCTCATATCATACGATATATAAGCTGTGGTAGTAGCATGTATTATGAAGAAAGCCATAACGAAAAGTGTCTTGAATCAATTATCCATTAATTTTTAGGCTGTCAAGGAAAGCAACACCGTAAATTTTGGATTTGTTAAGATTCCAAAATTGCTACTATCTAACCAGGACAAACCCGGGACTATTAACCTAAACGTTGATATTAATAACTTGCAAAAAATACTCGATAGTTTAAAGATTGTATGATAAGCAAGCAACTTTAAGCTTTAAAGCATATGATGTGTATTTATTATTCGATTTACTAAATAAACAGTTCTTCTTTAATATCCACAAAAATGGACTAAGATGAATCTAAATTGCAGAGCCTGATCTACGAAGTTCTAATACTTTTATAATTCAATATGAGACAAAGCTTACAGGTTATAAATAATAATATTAACGCCTGCTTTTTGAAATTTGTTGTTGTTGCTTATTTCCAGATAAAACGACGAACGGTGATTGGGTTTCTTTCTGCTTCGCCTGCAACATGTTCAATGTACCCAAAGGAGTGTCAGTTGAACTCATTTTCTTCATTAACTAAAAACCAAGGAATCATTAAAAACCTAGTTCGATAGGAGTTCGGATAGCTTCGTACCTGTTCCTGTACTCCCTTTTTGATCCGTTTTTCTACCTTGTTTTTGCCCGGCCCTTTTCCGTGGAACTTGTGAGACAAATACCGGAATGCTTCCTTGGAGTTAAGAATGTGTCCATCGTCGTCTATGTACTCCAGTTTAACGTTAGGCTTAAACCCGTCTTTTTCACGAAAGTCCTGAATAGGTCCGGAGTAGCGTTCTCTTCCTGCAACAAACACAATTCACATTTAAACAAGAACAAAGTGCAGTTACGTCAACTCACCTCTACCAGCCCTTTCGTTCCCTTCCTCGCCATAGCTCTTGTCCTCAATGGAGTAGTGTTGCGCTTGCAAATGGGCGAATCGTGAATTGCTCGGTCTGTTATTTTGCTCTTTGTCCAAGTAGCCTTTGCTCATGGCTAGTTTTAGGGCTGCCCCCACTCCGGTGCTGACATCGGGTTCTTCGTCCAAAATTTGTACTTCCTGGAGTAGTTATGATTTAGCTTGCTTAGCTATTATAGCTTAAGCAAAAAATCTACCTGCGGGACTATTTTTGTCAAGTCAACTCCTCCGTGAACTGGGTCTACAGAGTTCCATCCTGAGGGCTCAATAATTCTGCAGTCATCATCGTCGCTTTTCTCGTCATTCATATCCTCTTTTTCAAAGTCAACTAAATCCTCGTCTTCGTCACGATTTCCTGCTTTGCCATATGTAGGAATATCACCTAAAGCAAACAGTATTATTAGTTAATTCAAATATACTTAATAAAAGCCTCTTTGTATTTACCAAGAGTTCTACAGAACTCTGCTGTGGAATTTAAAATGATGTTGCCACCATCACCATTTTCATCCTGATTTTCCTCTTTTACCTCGTTTTTCAGAATGTCGGCAATAACGTTATCTCTTTGCTTTATTCTCCGTGCCTTATGAAGAGCTTTTTCTAGCATGTCATCTTTATCATCCTCCAATTTAAAATTTGTGAGTACTTCAATGTCTGGAAATAGAAATAAAAACAAAATGGCATGCATTTTAACATCCAAACTTTCTTACCTGGTACATCATCAATATTTAGATCTGGTTCATTGGTGTTCAATTCTAATTTATTCTTTTTAGACCCAGATTGTTCAATCTTTTGAATAGGCAGCAAATCGTTAGCAGTCAACTTTCCTTTGCTCCTAATTCTTCTGGTTTTCCTCTTTGGCTTATTGAACTTTGCCATTTCTTCCTCATTGTAGTATTCTGAAGCGAGTACTAGATTCTTATCAGCGATGCTTTCTAGTCGTTTCTTCGCCAGTTTCTCTTTGACTGACTGAACGACGGCCTTCTGCTTTTGTTGCACGAATTTATCTACGCCAATTTGAAAGCCATCCCGTTTGGCACCGTCGATTTCTTCGTCGTATTTGGAGAGCAAAGATTTTTCCTTAGGATTGCCCAATTCATCGTATTCTTGATCTTCATAGGCGTTGTATAAAATTTTCTTCTTCTTGTTTTCGATGTTCTGAAATTTCATTTATCATAAAATATGTATACTCAGAAAAATAAAGAGACTTACTTTTTTGTATTTTTCATTATCAATCATGTTAACATTAACTAGCACATCGTCCTTTTCATCCAAAACTCCTGAATCTTTTAGCGTTAAAATTACTTGCTTCTCTTCAGCAAATGTGTCTATGTCATGATCCACTCGCAACCCTTTCAGGTCTTTTGCTGTATATTGTTGACTTCTTTTTTCTTTTCGGTCTTGCTCTATCACATCGCCTATGCCAAATTGAGCATCGAGCTCCTCCAGCATATTTGCCTATTGAAAAACAAAACGTCAACTATGTACTAAATTATTACGCAAATGAATTATCTTTACTCTTTTTTGGGCTTCTAATTTTGCTTTCTCAATTTTCCTGTTTTTGTCTACCCAATTGCCAACATCCTCTTCACTATCACTGTCACCCAGAGTTTTCACTTTCGATAGGCGATTGTGCAACTGCCTCTTTTCCTTGTGTTCGGCAAGCTTTGTCCGTAGCTTCTCCCTCTCAGCTTTCTCTGCCCAGTTTTCAGCAGGTTTGTGGTAAAATTCTCCAAGATCGTCCTTTTTTTTGCCACTATTCTTACTGGCAGACGTACTTGCTTCGGAAGTACCCACATCCAACGGCTTCATGCCGAGCTTCGCTCTTAACTTATTGGTTTCTTCGATAGAGAGACTGCCAGCTCCTTGAGAACTCGATTCCATCTTGGTCTCTTGAGGGGATTCATCTGAAGATATGATTTCCACTAGGTCTGTAATATGATAAAGAATTAGCTTACTGTTGGTCACTGGATCACCGAAGGAGTTTTGTAAGTAGTAACGAGTGGTGCTAAAACCAGGGCTACTGTATGTAGAATGGCTGTCACGGACAGTCGGTTTGTGCATGATATTGTATCAGCTAGTAACATGTGGTTGACGATTATTATTAAATAAGTACAGCTTTACCTTCATCTTCGACAGTTTGCCTTGTCCTCTCTCTTTTTTTATCCTTATGGTGTCTATGTCTATGCTTATGGCGCTTTTCTCGAGAAGCATCTTCAGTCGCTGGTGTTGGACTATGACGCCTCTTCGGACGAGAGGAAGATTCCTTTTCCTTATATCGGGACTTACTGCTGGAACCCATGACTTATTTAATTCAACAGAATCCTATTCACCTGATTGTTTGATATTGATGAAGTATACTGATTCACACACCTAGCAAATTATCAATGAAAAGCTTTCGAGTTTAAGGAGATGCTAATTAATAAGGTTTTAGCAGAGACAAGTTTTATCAGTGACGCTTTATGTCGAACCGTATGTCACTCAATTTTATTGTTCTTCTTCTTATCGTGCTTTTATATCTATGTACAGCGTTGCCACGTCAAGAACTACGAAAGCAAAATGTTGACAAAAAAAGTGAGGTTTATTGCGTGAAGTTGTAGCGAACTCTATCCGCCACTTTTCAACTAGCAGCTCCAACCGAAACGCCAGCTATATCTCACCGCATGACATCTGTGGCGTTTCGACTGGAGGGGGTATGTTCTGTGTGTGAGTGTTTTTTGGCTAAATATTTATTGACCGTGAGGAAAATTTTCACCGAGAGTCCTTGATTTGAAGTGATCTTTAAGGTAAGTATATGGAAGTAAGTTTGCGTATATGTAAGTATATCTAAGTTGTAGTAACCTGGAGCCATGTCTCGGTTCAGTGGAGTCCTACAATTGACGGATTTAGACGATTTTATCACCCCATCGCAGGTCAGTATTACTTGATAATATATGGAAGATTAACAAACCATTTGACTTCCTATATTGCCTTTAGGAGTGTATCAAGCCAATTGAATCAAAAGTGACGAAGTCATCTGGCACCGGATCGAAAATTTCGATTCAGGAGGATGGTTCATACTTCCAAATTGGAGCTGTACGATTTTCAATGCAAATGAATTTGCAGTGAATAGTATACGTGAATTAATTCTTTTAGGACGGAAAGGGTCAAAAGTTACAAGAAGTGGAGATCACATTGGCTGACTGTCTGGCTTGTTCAGGGTGTATAACTTCGGCAGAAAGTGTACTGGTGTCCCAGCAAAACCAAGAGGAGCTGTTTAGAGTGTTTGAAGAAAATAGACAACTTAAACTAGTAAGCCAATAGATTAATAGTACAAAAAATTGATATTGTGTATGTCAAAATAGAGTTACATTAGCAATTAAGACACCGATCAATGTAGGAGGGTCACTGGAACAAAACCAAGACAATCATAGTATCTGTCTCTGTGCAACCAGTGCTGTCCTTAGCTTACAAGTGTAAATTAAGTCCTAATGACTGCGCAGCCAAGTTGGCTACATACTTTAAAATGCTTGGAGCTGATATGGTTGTGGATATGACCGTGGCGCAGGATTTATCGCTGATAGAAGCTCAAAAAGAGTTTATCAGAAGATACAGAGCTTGTGAGCAAGATGGAAATAAACACACTCTACCTATGCTGGCTTCAAGTTGTCCTGGTGAATGCACAAACAAAAAGCCAGTGTTATTTAGCTAATTAATGAATTGCATGCCATTGTTCAGGTTGGGTGTGTTATGCAGAGAAAACACATGGAAGCTACATCCTTCCATGTATTTCCAGCACAAAATCGCCACAACAAATCATGGGGTCTTTACTGAAACAATGGGTGGGGCAGAAGCAAAGTATATATCATATTACTGTAATGTCTTGTTACGACAAGAAACTAGAAGCCGCTCGGGAAGACTTTGCAGACGAAAACACCAAAGAACGAGATGTGGACTGTGTGATTACAGCCAGTAAGTGACTGTGCATTGATGTTACTTGTTTGAAAAGAGGCATATTTTAGTTGAACTGGAGCAAATGTTACTGGCGGCCAACATTGATCTAGCACATTTGGAAAATTCGACATTTTCACAGCCCTGGCTAATGGAGGATGATCATGATATCAGTCCCATGTTGTATAGTCACGTTGGTTCTGGATCTGGAGGTTATTCAGACTACATTTTTATACACTCTGTAATGCAGCTGTTTGGCGCATCCCGTCAGAACATTCAATATAAGGCTTTAAGGTCCGTATAGTAAATTTTGCGTGGACTAACATGTTAATTGCAAGTACTTGTCTGGATTATAGAAATCCGGATTTCAAGGAGGTCGTGTTCGAAAGAGATGGAAAGGTTTTACTAAAATTTGCAATTGCCAACGGGTTCCGGAATATCCAAAACTTAGTACAAAAGCTTAAACGCGGAAAGTCACCCTATCATTATGTGGAAGTTATGGCGTGTCCGTCGGGTAAACATTTCATCAGTGTATTGTGGACGTGATTGTTATCCTCAATACTTTTATAGGCTGTTTAAATGGTGGTGCTCAAGTGAAACCTCGCACTGGTCAAACTGCCAAAGAAATGATAGCAGAACTGCAAAAGATGTATAGAAATTTGCCGGTTGCTACTCCTGAACAAAGTGAGATTGTCAAAGATCTGTACGATAAATGGTTGGGAGGACAGGATAGTGATAAAGTTAATGTGATTTTACACACTCAGTATCATGCTGTGGAAAAAGTAACTCATGCATTAAATATAAAGTGGTGAAAGTAAAAAAAGTTTTTCGTCCTAAGAACAGAAGACTTATACATGGATTATATCCTAAAATTTTATACGTCACCAAGGCATGTGGTAAAATAGGTAGTATTAAATGCCATTGTAGTTTTAGCGTTTTAATAAATATATAATATTTAAGGACGTGCCAAACATAATAACTGCTACATTCGGGCGGCCAAAGTTAAGCTGTAAACATTGATTTGAAATTCAGGAAGTTGTGTTGTGGAGTTGTTTTTTGGAGGGATCCAGAAACGAGCCTCCACTGGCCAGCGGAAATTTCTCACTGCGATCAGTGGAATTTTTGTCGGGAAATTTTGGGATCAATATTTTCCAGTCCTGGGAAAGGTTGCGCGCGGTTGTTTCTTCCTCCAATCATACATTAGCGTGCAAAATATTGAGCTGCCCGGTCGTGCCGCACACAGATACATTTAGCCAGTCGCAGTTGGGGCGCAGTTTGACAAGGTTGTATGCGGCATTCTCAAACCCTCTGCCACTTTGGATACTGAGAGCTGCACACATAAGCCACCTAGTGGTTTTCGGGCGCCTTTTTCGTGTATGGTGTAAGAAACGGTTGCCTCGGATGATTTTGAACGCGCCTTTAGCCGGTAAGTTCTTCAGCTGCTTTTATTGTTCAACACATTAACTTTTAGTACGCATAGCCAGAAGGCTGGTCAATAATTTGCAAGTAATTTTCTAAGTTCCTTAAACTTTCAGTTGAGCTGCTAAAAATCGCACCAAATTATTAGTAATGCGCTTGAGCAACATTCTCTTGTAGTCAGATTGGGCCTATGGATTGGGCGTTTTTAAAGGAAACAACTTGTGTTCGACTGGCTTCTTTGCGTGGATTCTCTTAAACGTTTTCTCAGGTTCTTATATTGGCTACAGATGGGAAGGTGGCCAGTGACGGAACATCTAAGAAGCACATTTTTTTATATTATTTTACTTTGCTTGATTTAATATGTATTTGATCAACATGTCATCCTGTAGAGTGAAAATGCATATCATTTGTCGGTAGAACCAATCACAAGATCAAGTATAGGAACATCTTCAAGTAATGTGAACATTTTGAATGAAAATCCGGTCAACCTTGAAGTTTTTTTTTATAGATTTTTATTTGTGTATCCAACATCGATTTCACCTTGTAGAGTATCAGTAAGCTATGCAGTTTAAGTGATTAAATATTTACTTTTTCGCGGTCTATTTGAGAAGGCAGTATTTTTAGAAAATCTAATGTTTAAGGTGGTTTGTTTTTAGAAAATAAGAGCATTAGTGAAAAGAGGAATTTTTTATTTAAATTTTTTCTGCGTCCAGTAATAAAAGATGTAGGTAATTATAATTATCACCTCTAATTATTTAAAAATAAACTTTAGCCATAATTCAACTGCCAGCAACAAAAAATGCTCATTATTCTTTTTGAAAGTCGTTAATCGCCTTTTACACTGTATCTGTGTTGGAAGTGATTTTTCGAGGATTTCGACCTAAATCATGACAATGACACGTTTGAAGCATTCTTCGATTGGAACTGTTCTACGATCGTGGACGGTGATCCGGTGGACGAGAAGACGGACAAGAACGCTCATTTTTACCTTATTTCAGAGAGAACTAAATGGCCTTTTTAGAGAGTGCACCATCGATAAGAAAATGTTAACAGTTTTCTCAAAAAAGTCTTGGTTTCACGAAGTTTTAGATTTGGGTCTTTTTTTTTGAGTGGCGAAATTGACTCAAACATAACGCTGCTTTTTTCAAAGTTTCTCAAGAACCATTTAAGCCACAGAGTTCGTTTTGGCATCGTTGGATAGAGAATTTAATACCCGATATAAGTGAAGAAGTTCGGCCAATTTCAATATCAGACATTTAGGTGCAAGTTTATGCCAAAATTTCATGTTTTCCGTCCCGTTTTTGCTCATTTCTCAGAAGCAAAGGGTGCAAGAACGCTCATTTTCACATCATTTCAGAGGGAAGTAAATGGCGTTTTTAGAGAGTGCTCCATCGATTCGATTGGAATGAAAAATTTATGATATTCCTATTCTATGCTGTCTAATGTGTTCTGCATTAATTCCAGTGGTGGTGTTAATGTGGGGGTGAAGGCAAACATGATAGGGCGGGGGCAGAGCTCGCCCATGGAGCTCGGTTAGCGTGGCGTGCCCCTGCCCGGCCGCCCGGCACCCCCTCCGAACAGAGCCCTCAGGCTCGCAGATGGAGCTGGACCAACGAGACTGCTTTCATCGGCCTAAGGCCTTTGACAAGGTAAAGCGATAGTTCGTGTCCAGTCTGTATATGTACATAGCTTGCTTTTTTGTCGTAAATTCTAGATTGCTTAATTGCAAATATAGCTTTATCATTTTATGCCATGAAATAAAGTCTTTATTTTTTCGCTTTCTGCTTGTTGCACCAGAAATGTTGTTGGTCTATCGTCTCGATTTTCTACCTTAATCACAATCCTGAGATTTCGTTTTTCAATCGTAGATGGAAGAACTATTGCATGCAATTGAGGCATCAGGGGGTGTGCCAGTGGGGTGGCAAAAATCGTTTTTGACCTCTGTACCGAAGTCGTTTGCTGGTAAGTTACAGATATTGTCAATTCAACTAATTTGTAACAGAGTGCTCAGAACAACTGGATTTTTCCAAATTGCGAATGTTTATTATAGGTTCCGATTTGGTAGAGTGGTTGATCGTACATCTAGACACAGATGAAATGCGTAAGTGTACAACATAGTTAACACACCTATCAAACAAATGTGCGTCTCTTTTACAGCTGCGTTTTCCGAATCCATGCATATTGCGAATCAATTATGTCAATATGGTTATTTGTACCCAATAAGTGACTCTAAAAACCTGCTCTTCAAAGAGGAAAACGCTATCTATAGATTTCAGGTTAGTACCACCACACATCATTGCGACAACGGCAAAAATGCTGAAAATGTTATTTCGATTTTTAGTCCGTAGTTATAAGTTATATTTTAATTTATTTATTATCCAGTTGTTGTTGAAAAATTACATCAGTAAATATTTAAATATGTGAATAAACTAATAGGATGAAATAAAGTATCGTTTTTCTTTCGTTACATATATGTATGTATATTCCCTGAACATACCATATACATTCACTGAACATACACATGTACATTCCCAGAACATACCATGAATATTCAGTGTATTAACTTTGACAGATTCCTGGCACATACATGGAATGTTCATAATGGAACTCATGTATGTCCTAGGAATATGCATGTACATCACATGAATGTTCCAGGTATATTAAGGTACCAGTTTAAAATGTTTTAGCACATAGGGGCTATAGCCACCTAAAACATATAGAATGACTTGAAGAATCACATTTAAATTTCGAAAACGATCACCATTTTTTTGGCTATCAATTACTGTTAATATAACCGAAAGTAAAACTGAAACATCCGCCTAAATGCCGGCATTTCCGTTGTCTTCTTCAGAGTACTTTATGTACAGGTTTGTAAGGGTTTCAATTTTTTGCTGCTGAATGTTCACAAGACGCTCTCTATCTCTTAGCTTTTCTTAAACGGAATTAATAAATATTTGTAAACTTTTTATGTATCATTTTTAGTCCCCTTCGTTCTGGCCATGGAGTAGTAAAACACCAGATAACATAGAGTATGCGATTTATCTCCTTAAACGATCGCTTCGCAACAAACAAAAACACGGCCTAGAAGACTATGAACTAGAAGCAATGGCAAGTTTAAGGAGGAATTTAAGCAATAAATGGGACTTAATAACTAACCAGGCACAAGAGCAGGTCAGTTAGTAGAAAGAAGAAACAGCCTGTTTATCTATCTTTGTCGGAATGCGGCTTGACCATTTCTACAAAGATGTTGAATAACTTTTTGAGATATATTCTTCTGATTGGCTGGTCAGCATACATTCACAATTAATGGCTTCAAAATTTGTTTGCAGGTAAATCAGCTTCAGTATATGACAAAAAACGATAAGTTGGTCAGCGACGCTGACGAAAAAGCTTTTTGGCGAATATACCGTCCTCCTCCCGGATTCTTCACCGCTCTTGAACAAGTTCCAGTTCCTACCAGATGTTGGAATGGAATGAGACCACGTAAGAAGACTATAGACGACTATAGAAGAGAGGTTAGTGCATTTGTTTTTCTAGCGACTTCCTGAAATGGCCAATATCTATTTACGAAACAAGTTCATCAAGAACAACCGTTTTACGTTTGAAATGTTTTGTAGACTGAGCTTCTTAAAACCAGGCTTTCTAGGACCAGAGTGAAAGCATCGCAGGCTCTTGAAAGCCTAATCAACCAAATTGACACATACAGCGAATACGACTGTCTTTTGAGTTCACCTCCGTCCGGAAATCCCTGGGTAAATGATGATATTACGTACTGGACACTCAACGCTCCTTTGTAAGTATAGACATGACGCGCATACTCGAACATACGATAAGTATATCTTTGACTGTAGAGTGGAAATTCCAACTGAAAAGCGTGTAAGAAAATGGGCTCTGTCTATGGAGGATCTTCTATCAGATCCTACAGGAGTTCAGGAATTTACTCAGTACTTACGGAAAGAAAAGAGCGAAGAAAATATTCTGTTTTGTCTGGCAGTAATTGAGCTGCGACGCTCTGCACAGTCACAAGTTTTGCCGAAAATTAGAGACATCTTTGAGTAAGTTGTTAACCATACTTCTGTATTAATATTGTTTTTTCGTGTTTTTTTTTCAGTAACTACTTAAAGCATGGTTCGCCTTGCGAAGTAAACATTGACTGTCAGACCATGGAGCGAGTTCAGGAGGGAATGAAACTAAATAGTCGCTTCTGTTTCGATGCCGCCCAAGAGCATGTCTACAACCTTCTGCTCAAAAAAGATTGCTACCCACGATTCATTCGCTCAGAATACTATAAGACCTTGTTGGCAAATGGCGTTCAAACTTTACAGAAAAGAAGGTAAGTTAAAATTTAGCATTGAAATTTTTCGTTTTCTTTCATTCGTGCGATGAAATCAATTTTTTTTCACCTTTGCAGATTTTTCGGATTTGGACCAGCAAAAAAGAAAGCTTCCGTACCTGCACAAACCAACCCAGTTCAACCGTCACAAATAACTGGGTGTGTTGGCGCACTATCAAAGAGGCGCGGTAGCGACCGCAGCTTAACCGGTTCAGCGCATGAAATTTCTCATTTTGGTGTTAGCAGCAGCACTCAAACCAGCGTTATTAGGGATACCAAAGTATCCCATTCCCACTCACAAACTAATTTAAGTGATATTCCCTACAGGTAAGAATTCGGCCTCAATTCGGAGGGATTGATACCGTCAAAGCACGATGTGTCTTAAATATTGATATTACATGCTTTTTTCATTGCCCATTTCTTTTGATATTACCACAGATGTGGTAAAATGAAAAACTATATTGTCTAAACAGCAATGCAGATACTACTAAATGTAGGCTGTCCTGTTTATATTGCCCTGGCTGTTCAGCGCATGGCTTTATCAGAGCTCATTTGATCACTCCGACAGATCGCGAACCAATGTCGGCTCTCGTTTCATTTGTTGTCAAAAACATCGAAAAACCGTTGCAGTTTCCAATTCTATTCAAATCAATGGTCTTTATACAAACCACCAATTTAGTTATGGTTACAACCGCTTACATGACGACATATTTGTATTCGTATAAATTCTTGAGGGGGTTTTGCGAGTACTTTGAATATGCAAACTCTGTCGAAACCCCTCTCGACGTCCATTCGAAATTCATTTTAGATGTATAGATGTAGCTAGGGATGCTTACTTGCAGGGGGGACCTAGACCTGAACAAAACCAGCCTCGCAGTCACTTCCAGCCCGTAAGTTGCATCATAGACCGCAAGTGACTTGTTGGTTCGATGTTGTGTATTGGTAGTTGACTCGTCAGAATGGTCATTTTTCAAATCATTGAAATAAGCATTGATTTTATTTTATGTTTTTTGAAGCATGTGCATTTTGATCTCTTTCACTCAATCTGATTGGGTGCAGAAATAAGTATTAGACAGATGTGTCAAAATAGGGTGTTTTAGGTTTTCGCTCATATGCATGAGCTCATGATGTAAATGTTTTAATATTTTACATTAAAAACTTTGTATGCACCAGAATGCATTGCCCAACTGAAAGGGCACTTGATTCAATAAATTCTGTGGATAAGTGCACTCAAATTATTGGTCGTTTACTTACTATACTATATTTACTATACCAGGAAAACCAGCTTTTCGAGTTCGGTTGGGATTTGTTAAAATGGAGTGTATATAAAATGTTGAGAAAACTAGACACCCTTAGCTTTATAGTGGCAATTTAACTTGCGCATGAAAGAAACTAACAAATACTTTTGTGTGTACTTCAGTTTTCTCATGAATTAACATGCTATATATATATATATAGGGTTATTCACGCTATACGGCACGGAATTTTGCGGCTAAACCATATGATTTTTAAAAAGTATTATTTTATGAAATGTCCGACGCCTACCGAGCGCACATTTTAAAAATATTTTTGTGATAAATGGGGTGTCCCAAAAGCTCTAAAGGTATCAAAGTTGCGTTTTTTTTAAATGGAATGTCCTGTATATTATTGCATTTTTGGGTTCGCCGAACAAAATAAGGGTCTGTTTTAATAAGGTTTATAATACCTAAATCTTAAGGTTTTTTAAATAATACGAATTTAATCAAAATCTAAACTAATTTTCACGTGTACATCCTAGTACCATTCGATAGGAAATTAAAAATTGCATTTCCTGGTAAGCTAAAAAATATGGGGTTGTATTTAAATTAATCAAGTTATAGCCACTTAAAGTTCTTATTTGATTAGTTTAAATTTGTGGACACCCTGTATAAAATGGTAAGTTTATTATCATAAAATATGATTTCTTGTTACAGTACACTACGAATTACGTTTACGTAACTTAAATAATTCACATGAAAATAATATTAGATTTTGTTAAAATTCGAATTATTTAAAAAAACCTTTAGATTTAGACCTTATAAATCTTATTAAAACAAACACTTATTTTGCTCAGAGAATCCAAAAATGCAATAATATATAGGGTAATTCATTTAGAAAAACATAATTTTGATACTTTTAGGGCTTTTGGGACACTCTGTACATTACAAAAATATTTTTAAAATGTGCACCCGATAGGCGTCTGTGGTTTCATCAAATAATACTTTGCAAAAAACAAACGGACTAGCCGCAAACGTGCGTGCCGTATAGCGTATAGGCTAGGTAAAATTGAATACTTTACTATCGCTGTTGAGCTTGCCATTATGTTTGCACAGTTGTTCCCTTAGCCGTCGGTGATGTGGCATTGTATTGGTGCTTGAATTAACTTACGTATATTCATTAATCGGCAGAATAAAGAAATCGAGTGCACTGCCAGGCGTGTCGACAGCCGCTGAAGAAGTTTGCCCATGGGACACGCCTGCTACTCCCCCCCGAACGCCCATTAGTAACCGAAAGAATTCTGCTACTCATATCGACTCAGAAAGTTCCTCATCGGACGTTAGCGTGGGCGTGGCCGAAATTGTTGATAAGGTTAGTCGAATTAGCATGACTAATTGGCAGTGACGTCATTATTTCAGACGCCATGTTTGGGTTAGTTTCATTAGAACAATTTATCTCCAGATTCAATGCAGCAGTTCACTCACACAGCAACACACTCTGGATTGCGGCAAAAAATTGCATGTGGATAGTTCAGAGGCGCCGCGACGAGCGTCAGTGTCGGTGCCTTTGACGCATAGCACGTCGGGAATGGAAGGCACTCGGCGGAAAGTGTCCTCTTTTGAAGACAATTGTTCCTCGATTTTTGTAATTGCTAGTGAGAAAGACAATAAGCCTAAAGACAATATCAGTATTAGTAGCACCAAGGTATTGCAGAAGAGTTACAGTGTAGCAAAAACTCCCTCAATATCTTGTGTCGCCCCAATTATCAGTGTGAGTTCCGTGAAAGACGAGATGATTATTACTTCATGTGAGCAACAGTCATTGAATGAACAAGTTACTGCAGGGCAGCATCCAACCTCGTTAGGTTAGGCAAACTGCTGTTATTGTTATGGGAGGAAATAAGCACAATTGATATGTTTAGATATAACTGTTTGCGATTCGCCAAGTCAAAGCCATTCCGAGCCAGTTTCGCCGCCGATTATTGACAAGCCAAAAGCGCCCTTAGCCGAACCAGACTGTGAGTCACCTGGAAGCGAATTGCAGCCGTCGGAAGTAATCGCTCACGCCGACTCATCATCAAGCGAAGTTCGAACTGGTAGCAAGCATGAAGTAGAAGTGGATGAAACAAAAAATACAGACGTATGTCCGTGGGAAGACGAGTAAGATGGCCATTTTTTTTGCTAGAAGTAGTGATAGAAGTACAAATAACGAATCCAGCTAGAAGGTCAACAGCCGTCAAATACAATCTTGAATAGCAAAGTATCACATTCACAAAATGCATTTTTTTAATAATTTGCAATATTAATATATTTTTTAGGGAAAATTGCAGACTTGATAGTCCTTTTGTCAAGAAGTATGCCACATTAGGCTACCTCTAGCCATACCGAGAAGTCCGCGAATGTCTATTTTAGTCTTTACGTTGATGTAAGTATATAGGTCTAGTCTTACTGATAAAACCGGTGGCTTGATAAGTTAATATGAGGATTTACGGATAAGATACATACAAAAAATAATGGTACTCACTATCATTCATCTCAAATAAATGTTAGCATTTGGTCTGCAATACGAGAGTTAATAAATGTTTAATTTAAATTGTTAATTATATGTACCTACTTAATGCCTTATTCACAAAATACATGTAATGTGCGGAAAGTGAGATTTATGGTGGGTTTTTAATTTCGGAAAGTAACGTTTGCTTGGTATTGCTCAAATTTGTACCCGCAATTATAAAATAAGATCAAGCTATCATGAAATCACACAAAAGAAGATAATCATAGTTATTATTTCTATGATGTGTTTAAAAAAACTCTCAAGTTACTCTTGACCATTGCCATGTATCAGAAAAACGACGTTTTACCTAGCATCAGATATAACTGAATGAGCCCTAGATATGTCTGATGTTGCCCAAAGCCATTTTCTGCTACATAAGTTATAATATTAATCTAACAATTTACACTGTTTTCAATAGTTTAATAGCCTAATATTAAATATTTACCGTTATATGTAGTAAGCCCTAGTAAGTAACGTAAACATGTTGTTATTGGTAGTGACATAAATTTAAAAAAGACTAACGGATTGCGATTAAGATGGTGCAGAGCGATCCAGAAGTCTACAAAAAAATATAAATGTATGTAACAAACGAGCTTGATAAATTAATAACAGGTATCTACCAGGTAAAATAGATGTTGAAAAATTTTGTGTAGCTCGTGTTATATGTTTTGATGGCTTTCACTGTCTATGTATTTTATTAATAAGTTATTACGTAAGAAAATTCTATTTGGGAATGCCAAAAGACTAATCTAGGCGAAGTTTTTTACTACACGTATGTCAGAACTGAAAATTTACATGTATATTGTAAAGATTGTCTTTTCTGAAGGAACTTTGGGCTATTTTTAGTGTAAACGGATCAATGCATTTTTAGGTACTGCAGACAGTTGATTGAAACATATTCATTATGATTTAAAGGCCCCCTTAAAAATATCTTAAACTTTTATGTACAAGGATATAAATAGCAAAATTCAATTCAATTGAGTAGTTTTCAGATGCTAGATAAAAACTACATGCATAAAAAAACTGCAAAGTTTCTTTTCATATTCAAAAAATGCCCGGGATATGGAGTAAATATGTGCGAGACATTTTGTATTTGATCCTAAATCGTATAATTAATATATTGTAAACTTAAAAATTGTAACATGTTAGAGTAAGTTGAGAGATTTTTTCTATTGGATAAAACTTACATTTAAGTGTGTCAGGGCGCAATTTTTTGACAATACCAAGCAAATATTACCAAATTGTCACGTCATTATGTTTTCAAGAAAATGTTTTAAACATAGTGCCATATTCTTCTTTCACGTTGTACAGTAACATGCCGTGTTCGTGATACAAATTAGAACCATTTTAGATCACAACACGCGTAGTCATCCGGTTTAGCAATATAAGAGCACACAAATTATTCGTACATGACGTTTTAATAAGTGTATCAGGTTATTGACTGAAATAGACTGAACAGGCTGGCAGGCAGGATGGACAAAACGCTTAATTATTTTATCCATAGGCTTTGGACGATTGCTATTTATTTTTTATCAATGCAACCAATTGAACTGATTGGAAAAATGTTTCTGTTTACTAGTGACCCAATACTCACTTCATATGCTTAATAGTGGCCAGACGTGATGCTGTCTTATACTTCCTTATATAATGTTTTTCCATTAATTTTGACATAAAATATAAACTGTTGAAAACCATTTAATAGGTACGTGAACTATTCAAATGAAGATAAACGAGTACTTGACAATTAGTTAAAATGAATGGAAAAAATCAAACTAATAATTTATCAAGTTCCGAACTTGTATCTAGTAAATCCAGTGTTTTTATTGGCTTTGACTTTGCAATTGGCATTAAATCATAATATCCAAATAGGCCGAGTACCAGACTTAGTTAGTCGTCTTAAACGACTTTCTGGTATCTAAGCTTACAAGCCCGAAAAGCAGATCATTTTGAAATGGCGAAGTTAATGGCGAATGTATGATCAATAGTTATTATTATACTTGGATGTTATAATTGCATTAGAAATGTACATAGTTTTATAATGTTATAATGATAGTGGTAATTTATAATTACTATACTGTTAAACCATTTGTTCAGAATTTTATTTACTGGAAATGTTAAATAAATTGGTAGATTGTAAAATAAAATGTTCAATGGTTGCATTTTTTTATTTAACAAACCGCAATAGCCAAATGGGGGCGAAAAATGATTGACCCTTATAAAAATTCAAGTTCCTCAAAATACCTCGAGTGATACATCATTTTCATCGGAAAGAGCAAGGAATGCAATGAACTAATAAAAAGACTATTTATATATAGTTAATTTTGAACGGTTTTAGAGTGGTCGCAATCTTCAACGGACAATATCTTCCTTATTTTCGACCCACAACTTGCATGTCTGCGATATGTGTCGCAGACCATCAGACAAATCATGTAGAATTTGGGGCATTTTGAAAAAGTTGATAATTTAAAAAAAATCGACCTCTACCTCATATGAAATTTTCATTCAAAAATCGAAATTTTACATTCACGTTTTTTGTTTAAAAACGTTTGAAATAACTTATGATGCATTACTAAAACAAAATAGAAAATAGCATTATTTGCTTAAGTCTTTTTTAAGTATTCCAATTTTAACTTTTCCTACTGAAACTCGAATATGATTTTGTCCTGCTCTCTTTTGGCTAAAATGTTTTGAAGTTCCTCTTCAAAACATAGCATTGATAAGAAGCTGTTGTTAGGGCTTTATGGACCTGCAAACACACTTTTAGAAAAACATGGGGAATTTCACCGAAGATGGTGTACTGGACGGACGTCACCATTGTGAAACCCATAATCACATATTCCGCCGTCATATGGTGGCATAGAACCAAAATCAGCACATATCGACAGTCCCTGAACAAAGTTCAGAGGCTGAGGCCGAGGCTCTAAGAAGCGCTTACCGTATGGGTGACCATGTCCTCAGGAAAGCGACTAATTTGGGACACAGTACGATCTTCAGAAAATTGAAGACAGTCGAACTCATGGGATCAAAACTCTAAGCATCTCAGTACCTTTTAGGGCACAGGCGCTGGTATAGTCGACAACCGGTATAGTAGTAAACCTGGGTACAACTACGACAGCTTTCCAAGCAAACATCCTAGCAATAACAAATTGCGCCCGGAAAATGAAGGAAAGAGCCTACACACGTAAGCACATTACCATCGTAACCGGAGACGAAGCCACAATAAAGGCATTAGAATCTCACACAATCAGGTCACAATGTGTGCTAGATTGGGCAACTGGTACGAACAGGAGCATAGAAAACGAAATTGCTGCGGAACTTGCTAAGGCAGGGACCGAGATGCGGTATATCTCATGCTCAAGTTAGGGTGGCAGTTGGGCAGTGGATCTTGGAACAACACAGAAAGTACTGGGAGGAGACACCGCGACTCCATATCGCAAAGCAGTTGGTGGGAC